TTATGAATTAAACTTTATAACTTAAAATTATTAGTACCCATTATTTAAATATTATGTTAAAATATATTAGACTAGTAAAATAATCTTATACTATTAACAGTCCCGTCCAATGTTCTATGTAATTTATACAAWATATAGTTACTAAAAATTAGATATAAGCTTGAATTAAATTTTATATGTTAATATTCTAATTGTTTTTACATTTTAAAATAATATAATTTACGTTGTTAAAGTTTGAATGAAGAAAATATAACAAAATGATTAAGCTTAATTTTAACATTTTTATGGATACCTTATATTTTCCATGTCATCTACTAAGTCTTTGAAAGTATCATCTGTAATTTTGTTTTGCATTAGATCGAGTACTTTTTCAATAAAATTTCTCCTCCTAATTAAAAAAAAAAAAATACTCATTAAAATGTTAATTAAATTAAGTCTGTAATAAATTGCCTCAAAATTGAATAAAGCTTCCACCCCTTACACATATCTAAAAATTCTGTATGCCGATATTTATCATACACTATGTACTTAAATAAGATAAGATTTTTTCATAATAGTACCTTTTTATTTACATTGACTGGTATTATATTATATTTTATCATATTATTGTCTTATTTATGTATTGATGTCAGTGGATCCTAGTAAAATGTTAGACCCATGGSACTGATTACAATTATTGGTCATAAATTAAGACATATTACACAAATGAAATTGGACAGGGATTTATCAATTTTTATGTATTTATTCATTTTATAATACTGAATATAAAATGTATTAAATAATAGTATAATTACCAATTGGCAATTACCTATTAAACTAAAAAAGTATATTAAAAATAAAACTACTATTTTTATAACAATACCTAGAAAATAATTTATATCTGAGATTTTCTGTCATTGGACTTATACATTCATCATATTGAATTGATTGAAGAACCTTATACATAATTTCAATAATTAATAATAATTTACAAATTCATAATCATTATTTTATACTTTAGTAGCCCTTTCAACGATACACATTGGTAAACCATTTTGTGCTGCTATACTGTGAGCCATACTCATATTTTGGTTTTCTATTTTTTCTTCTACTTTATACAAGCATACTATTTTGGAGTTTTCTATTGTATGGCTCATGCTTAGGTACTGGAAGACATTTATTTAAGAAACTTGGTAATTATTTATATATATTATTTATGATGTTATTCAAACAGCTGTCTATAATTTTGCGCTTACCTTTATACTGCCATTTAAAATATCTTTATTTATTATCTGTTGAAGAAGATTTGGTAAAGAATGAAAATGAGTTGAAACAATGATGTGAGGCAATAAATGTGATGGCCTATGCACAAAATGACTAATACTTGCTAGTAGTAAAGCTAATCCATTAATTTCAGATGTACCTTTTCCAAATTCATCTAATATTACAAGAGAACTACATGTTGATTCATTTAAAGCCACTGACATCTATTTGTTATAAACAAATCATATAGGTAAATCAATTATTTTCTTTTTCAAGTATATGAGGTTCATATTTATTTTTCATAAATCATGTTTAAAATGTAGGTAGGTACTAACTTGTTTTAGATCAACCATAAAAGCTGACATTAAAGAGCTTACAGATTCAGTTGATTGAATTCTTGTATGAATATGATCTAATATACTTATTTCTGTGTACTCAGCTGGTACGTAACATCCAATATGGCATAGATATGATATTAATGCTACCTATAAATATTTATAAATATGAAATGACCAAAATAAATTAATGTATTCAAAAATTACAAAAATTTTGGACCTGCTTTAAGTAAATACTTTTTCCACTTGAATTTAAACCTGTTATAATTTTGATAGGTTGATTTGATTTTGAAGAATGATAACTGTTAGGTACAAATTTATCCACATATTTTTCTTGTAAAATATGTCGACCATTAATTATGTTTATAATGCAATGTTCTTTAGGAAGTATATTAGGTTTTATTAATTTTAAATCTTTAGCAACATCAGCAAAACCTATTACACTAAAAATTAT